ACATATAAATCCTCACCGACACCACGTTTTTTTTGACATTTTGTACATCAACTTTGATTGTTCAGCGATAATTTTTAAGAGTACAACTACATTATTTAGTGAATTATTTCAATTCAATTCAAATAAATTTATTTCTAAAAATAACATAATCTTATTCTTCTGTCGGAATTTGATGTTGCTTCTTAAGTTTTGATATGTCAGTATGTTTAAAATTACGCTTATAAATAATAAAATGTCCAAATTACTTTTATCACTAATTTATCTATTCCGTAATAACGTAACATGATTGTTAGTGTTTCAATTAATTTTATAGAAAAAGTAGGCCTAATGTATTTTGCAATCGCCTTTTAAAATAATAACCAATTTTATTCCATATTATTTAGCCTATTTATATTGTTTGTATATACTGTTTGGTGCTGGGCCTTGTTATTCTTGTGATTGTTATGTCTATGGAAGGAAACTCATCCGAAATAAAAGTTGAATCGAATTGAATAATGTAGGCATATAATGTTTACAACGTTCCTCCAAGCCTAGGCCTATATTTATATTATTCCTTATTTTACTGGCCCCAGTGCTTTAGGAAATTTACTTGGCAGTGATTTGGTTCACCTTTGGTGATCCCCTTTTCTTTTGTTCGTCATTTGTAATTTTCTTTGGATGATATCCACTTTGTGGCCGAAATGGCTTCCCATATCGATTTTTGCTCTCAAAGTACGAACATAGGTGACACACTTTGTTGTCCATAACAACCGATTAAGCAAAGTTTTAGTGAGATTTTACAAGGTTGAGAAGGGTGAGTGAGTTCTTCATATTCTAATATTCATCTATCAAACTTTTTTAAATGTCCAGAACACTCGAACTTTAATTACAGTTAGGGCTATTTGATGATTGGAGAATTGTTACTAATTTAGGTCTAGCTAGCTAAGGCTTAACTTAAGGCAGGCTCAGGCCTCACTCACAAATTGGACTCTACAGAGTGAAGAAGCGGGTCGTTTTCGGCCTAGGTCGTTTGTACATATTATAGGCCTGCTCCAGGCAATAATGATTGTCTTGATTTCTCTTTAGAATTCTTAACATTTTGTGGATAAATCTATTCATTTTGTGTAAATGAAAATTATATTCATGGTTAGAAGTTTTTCGCAGGTATGGCGGTAATATTAAAAATTATTAAAATTTAAAAAAAAGCATTTATTAAAAAAAAAACCTGCCGATTATTCATGATTCATGAAGTAAATGAATTGGAATTAATTACAAAACATTTTTTTTGTTTTTGTAATTTAAGTTATAGTTTTTTTTTTCATGTTGCTGAAGTTTTAGTTATAATGGGCATAAAAAAGGGTGGTGATTAATTAATTTTCTTTGGATTTGGAATTTTGAAAATATATCTTTAAATAATTTTTGTAAAAAAGTATTCATGAACAATTAGGTTTTAAATTTATTTTTTGTATTAATGATTTAATTAGGCAAATTACAATTAATTATGATAATCATCAAACTTACCATTGGAATTAAACATACTGTATTAGAATTTCTAGAATAGCATATTATAAAATAATTTGTACTTAATAATTCACATATTCATACGAATGGGTAAGGATGTGTGTTAGAGCTGTTTGGTTTATTTTCAGCACATTTTAAATAGAATAATTTTATTCATTTGGATAGGTACATTATCACCATAAAATGGCTGTCACTTATATGGACCTCAAGTCCAAGCGAACAGAAGCTGTGGCTCCAAGAACTTTGTTTGGAACATCAATAGAAATGAACGATGGAAAACCTAATGTTAATGAGCAGGAAATCGAGAAGGCAAATAAATCCATAAAGAAACAAGATAAGACCACTGCCTACAGACCACCCTCGGCAGATGAGAAACTCAGGTTGATGAAAGAGGCTATTGAGCGGCAAGATTTGAAAGTTAAATTCGCAGAGGGACGCTTGAAGAACCGGCAGAATGATGCACTTTTGTTTAACATTAACAACGAGCCTGCATCAGAAACGTCGAGGACAGGGTTTCATAAAGTGACAGGAGTGTACGAATCAGAAAGAACTTACTCACCATACAGAACTGATATTAAGCATCATTCCAGGGATATAGCTATGGCCGAGGAATTCAACCGACTAGGCCTTGATGACAAGTGCGATTACAACTATCAACGTTGTCGGCCTAGAGTGAAATTGGGGTCTTACCAAGGTGTTGGCAATATCCTTACTACTGGGAACCTCTTCGCATATAAGGGTAAAAAGATAAGTTCCACTTCATCCCCTACCCATGGTAAATTACGAGGAGAATTATCAAGTACTTCATCTCGTTCTAGCGCAAGCTCTATCCCACCGAATATTAAACACACTTACGGTGAAGAACTTTGTTCAAGAATAAAAGCAAATGAAATAAAAGAAACGATGACAGCTGATGCAAAATCTGCTTCTTCTTCAGCCAAGTTATCCCCTGAGCCGGAACGTAATCCCATGTACGATGCACTTGGCCATGCTCTTAGGCAAGACATCTTTAATGGTGTACCACATAACAAGATGCGAAGTCTTAATACCGATTCATATACCTTGGAAGTTCACTCCAAATCAAACAACGCATACCCTCCTGAGTTTGCAGTTCAAAAGAACATGGACAGTAAGTATAAGGTGTCCTAACAAGTTACAATGTAAAGGCAAGACTTTTCATACCTTTTTTTATTTTATTATTTTTTTTTTAATTAATTAATTTATTTTTATTTATTTATTTATTTCTTTTAATATCTGAAGGGCATTAAACATATAAATAATAATTAAAAGTCTCCTAAAAATTAAATAAAAATTAAGAGTCTGTACTTTTAAGCCAGCGGTGGCGCAAGAAATTTGCCGACAAAGGGGGGGGGGGCCAAAATGTCCTATGGAAGGGTCCGAGCCAAGGGGCCGATAAAGCCTCAGTCGACGGTCCGGCGTATAAACCCCATTGTAGGGTTCACGGGGAGAGTTTTCATGGCTTAGTATGGTCCAAAATGTGGTTTTAGACCACCTAGGGGGTGGCCGTTTGGAACCCTTTTGATGCTGTAACACCTGTCTCTTATACACATCTAGATGTGTATAAGAGACAGGTATAAGGTGTCCTAACAAGTTACAATGTAAAGGCAAGACTTTTCATACCTTTTTTTATTTTATTATTTTTTTTTTAATTAATTAATTTATTTTTATTTATTTATTTATTTATTTTAATATCTGAAGGGCATTAAACATATAAATAATAATTAATTTTAAGTCTCCTAAAAATTAAATAAAAATTAAGAGTCTGTACTTTTAAGCCAGCGGTGGCGCAAGAAATTTGCCGACAAAGGGGGGGGGGGCCGAAATGTCCTATGGAAGGGTCCGAGCCAAGGGGCCGATAAAGCCTCAGTCGACGGTCCGGCGTATAAACCCCATTGTAGGGTTCACGGGGAGAGTTTTCATGGCTTAGTATGGTCCAAAATGTGGTTTTAGACCACCTAGGGGGTGGCCGTTTGGAACCCTTGATGCTCTAAAAACCAAGTCTTGAGAACTAATTATTTGGGATCCTCCACTAAGCCTGAGGGGGTGTTGTTTTGGTTAATAAATTCCTGACATTTCTTTCAAGGAACCTTAAGCCCTGTCCAAAATATCCAATTTCATTTGACAAAAACATGCATGCAGCATGTCTAAATATGGTCATGATGACATCATGCCATGACCATGTATAGGTACATCATGACTATATATGGGCATAAACATCAGTCTGGTCAGAGCTTTAGTGTTAGAAAGGCAATTATCTCAACCACCAATCAACTCTGATTCTCAAATCCCAAATAATTTTATTTTCCATACAATTATATTATTTAAAAAAAAGACAATTAAAGGCACTCCTTACCGTATGTAGCAATTATTATTTTTTACTGTTTTTATGTTTTAATCTAAATCAATTTTAAATATTTTAAATAGCTATTGAACATTTTTATTAATATCAGTGTTATTTTTTAAATGTAAACTTTTATATATTTGACTATGTAATCCTCTTCGTTGTCCAGTTTTTCTGTGTGGGGAGCCATTTTGACTGTTATTTTATTTTTTTTAAATAACATATTGGCAATCCTGCCTTGCAGATTTACACTTTTATGTTAAGCAGAATAAGTGATATGATATTATATGAAATATATAAGCATATGTGCAGTAGAAATATGTCACCTATATTCAACCAACACTTGCATTGTTTTATTTAGATGAAATTTCTGATTAATTATTAATTATTACTAGTCTACGTAGGGTACCCACTGTAAAAAGTTTGATGGTATTGTGATTTTTAATCGATTTCATATAATTAGAGTACCACCTGCCAAAATACACATACTTATGCTTAAAAAATATGTTGAATGATTACATCTGTCATCCATGTTCATTGAGACCCCTTAATTTCATGTAATTATATATTAATAATTTTTATCATTAAAAACTACAACAAAAATGTTATTTACCATAGAGCCTATTTGTTGAAAATATATTTCTGTTAATTGGTAATATAATTTTATATTAAAATTTTAGGTAAATGGGCAGAAGATTGTGTGATAAGATCAAGGGTGATGAAAGAATGGAACCAAATGATGCTGGAGAAACAAGCCAAGGGAACTGACTGAGGATACAAGGGAATCCAAAGCACAGACTTAACTGAAGAAGGAATGACCCCTGGTTCCAAGCAAAAAAGGGACCAAGAAAACAGTGGAGAAGAGTGAAGATCCAATGGCTAACATGACCAATGGCATATCCAGGAGTTTGGAAATTGGGAGTGGGCGGGTAGGTTGGGAGCGAAGGTGAAGTGTTTGGGGGATCAGTGATTGAGTAAGGGGTGGTAACTTACAAAATAAGGTGATATGAGATGACTTTTTAACTTCTTTAGCATATTTTTTGCTTTGAACATTTTCAATTGCGGGGGGTGGGGGAAGCAGCAACGGCAACTGGGGCACACTCCTAGATACGCCACTGAACATGATCAGCATTATAAGGAAAGAAAATATTAAGCCAAAGGAGATTATAATTGATGCTGTAACACCAGGGTGAGAAAAAGCAAAGGGAGCCCTCTAGTTTGCAGGGAACACCAAGGCACAACACAAACTATACTATAATCTCGCTCTACTTTGAAAGACTCGGATGTTTCACTACTAAACGTTGTTATTTTTGCATGTCGATGACTGTGATTGTGAGTTTCCTACTGTTCTATAGAGCTTGAGGTAGTTCAGCATTCTTCTTCATGACCTAACGCGGCATGTCTTAAAATGTGATGGTGGACCTTTTCTACCATATTCTCGCATTATTTTTCTACACCTGTTATACTTCTATTTTTGGAGTTCTTAGGAGGTCGGCTTTACCCAGTAGAACGAAAAAATTAACATTTCCACAAAGCACCGCCCCTTGATGTTGCTGAGGCCCTACAAAAAGATAGCATAAGTATACGTCAAGATGCGTGTTTGTGGGACACACATTGCGTGTGGACTACATTTAGCAATATTCTGATTGGTCAGTTGTTAACTTTGATTGAAACTCTGGAAAGGGTTCATGTCAAGCTATGGCTGTTTTCATGTTTTTAAACTAAATTAAATTAACGAAAAATTTGGATTTTGTATTAGTAAAGCAGATGAAGCCCTGTTTAGTCAAGGCGAGACGTTTTTTATACAAATCCGCCGCCCGCCAGTAATGATGATTTCGAATAAAATTTAAATTTGGCCAATTAGTGCAACCACCACCATGAGAAAGTGTAAATTTCAGAAAGAAATAGAAGTTTTCCTTTATTTTTATTACTCCCGCCGCTGCCTTGAAATCTTCAAAAATAAGATATGTATATTTCTTCCTAATAATATAAATTTTAAGCATTTTACCCATCCAATTTTTACACTGTCTACATCCACCACTAAAATTTTATTTTTATTTTTTCCTACATCTGGATGTATTTGGCAAAACTATTTGTTGAATAAGAAAACAAAATTTTATTTTATTTTTCCGCTATCCTGTGACGATCTTTAAAATAAGTTCATGAAACAAGGTATAAAAAAACGTCTCGCCTAAAGATATAAATAAAACACAATACCACTCAGTTGACTAAATTAAATATAATTTCACAAGCTTCCATAAACAATCTATACTGGCAGCATAGGTAGAGTGAAGCAGTACAAATATGAGGTAAAATATACTGTATAAAAATGCTATGCTATATATGAACAGTGAAGGGTATATGAACAGTATATGGTAGACATTTTTCAATATATCATATCTGGAATATGTCCACCACAATAAATAACAGTATTAATTCACATGTTTTATCAAGTCTTATTTTCATAACATATATAACTTAAAATACAATACAAAATCTTCTTTCTGTGTTCTACATGGATTAGGCATTTAAAAAGTAATTGAATAGATAATTTTGGCTCTTTGGGTGGTTTAGATTCATATTCACAATATAACACTACCTTCAAAGAATTTGAAATTTGGCTATAACTACCATGTACATAGAACAACTATTTATGGGGGTTTTTGTTTGTTATTTTAGTCAAGCATATTGGAACCTTGGTCTACCAGGGAACAGTTAAATTTAACTGTTTCCTGAGTCTACCAAAATTTAATTTTAGCCACTCCCAGATGTGGCTCCATTAGTTAGAAGGCCTAATTAGTATAGAGAGTCATGGCGACTCATTTTCTGGGCAGTGTTGGCCATCTCAGATTTCTGCAATCTGCAAGTGATTTTTTTTTTCTTTAGTGGGGGACACCGTATTCCTACACCTCTTAAAATGTAGCAATACTAGCGTTTGGTCGCCATCTTGGCAGCCATTTCAAATTCCTCAAAGTAACAAGATGTTAGATGGTAATATATTGATCTTGTATAGAGCCAGAAATTCATGCACCAAAGTTTGCCTTCTGTCTCAATATTGCACAAGAGTACAGCAGCATTATATATATTTTTTAATATAATTTATATATAATTCATATATTTTTTATATAATTCACATTGATTTTAACACTGCAATTATAAAAATATTCATAGTCAATCATTTGGTGTCACAATGATTGATTAATTTCAAATATATTTCCCATTCAAAAGAATATTATTTGTAAAACGGGGTCTCAAAGCCATTATTTTTACTAAAGATTTATATTAACTATATAATATAAAATTATATAATATAAAATCAGGCAAAATTAATATTTTTTATTAAAAATTTCAAGATTAAAATAAATAAATAAACATTTTAGAAAAAAAAAATATTTACATCAAGTGAAAACAGTACTGATTTTTGGTGTCTGTTGAAAATATTATTTAAGTTTTTGTATTTACTACAGTATTAATTCAGACTTGTATCTTCATTTTTAAAATCGATATTTATTCTATTTTATATTTAGGCTCCGGGCTAAGGATGTGCCTGTTCATGAAAATTGTAATGCGTCTGAGTATCTATCTTCTAAAATCACATTCAACCACTCACCCACTCTTGATCAGTTTTACCCTACTAGGAATCAGCTATCAAATATTTTAATTGTTCCTCATTCAAATTCAAATTTCATACCAGAGCTGCTCATCTTTGGAACAACCTTTCTCACAACATTCGTAACAATTTTGGTTCTCTTTCTATTAATGAGTTTTAAAAATAGATGCCTTTATATGTATTTAGTAATACCTTACAACTATTGGATGCACACATTTAAATATGGTCTAAAAGGAGATAGTCTTAACTTAAATCTTAACTTAAATAGGTAAAGTATGGTATGGTATGTAATTAGGGTGAGAAGACACAACATTGAATAGACATTGCACCTATGAGATGGCCAGATATCATTTTCAAATGATGGCTAAATAAAATAATAATAATTTGGTGTAGTTGAACTTTTTTGTTTTGGTTTTTAAGGTATCATTTTTCTGCTTTTTTTTTTTAGTATAGTCTAATACAGTATATGATTGTGTTTAAATTGTTTAGGTACATCTGTAAACATATGTATATTTTTGCTATATTTATGTACCAGGGCTTCCTTGGATATCAGTGCTAGTCAAAGAATGGTTACACCCTGATTAAAGAAAGCATAACAAATAATAAAATGCTTTTTTTACATGATGAAATGGCTGTTGTGCTGATTTTTGTGTCCATTGTTCCTATAATCATTATTAATTATATAATAATATAGTCTGCAATATCTTCACTTCTGTTCATTACCATGACTCAGTTCATATAAGTTTTTGGCCACCTTCTCAAGTCGTTCTCTGTATTCAAGCTTCTTGTAAAGATTATTTGGTACTTTGTCCATTCCATAGAGGGCGCCCCACCAGCATGCAGCCATAACACCTGTCGAGTCGCTATCACCACCATGGATCATTCCTCGGAGGCAAAGCTCTTCCCATGATTCACCTGCCCCTAGAAGCGCATCATACGCAATCATGGGAGCATCGTGCCCACTGGATCCACCCCATCCGGAATGACTAACTGACTTATAGAAGGCATCTCTCTCAATGAATCCAAATTCTTCTGGAAACGTTGGCAAACCTTTGCCATCGGATATTCCACGGAGCTCCAAATAATTGTTCCACTTGTCAACAAAGTATGACCTATAAACACAACATTTTTTTCAGTTAATGTTTTGGATACAAAAAGAAAATGTTTCTCATAAATATAACGTCCTTTTTCCTTTTTATACTGTCTGTCTATGGCTACTGTTTGGGTTGTTGATGAACTTTCGAGGGTCACCAGGTTGAATCTGGGTCTCAAAAATGATAGAAAGTGTTGTAATTAACACCAACAAATATTAAGATTCCTATGAAAACATTGAACAAAACCTTGTTAAAAATAACTCAATAAAATGTCCCATTCATGTCACCTTACAAATTTACACTTTGCGCCAGTGGTGTACCATGAGTTTTCGGATCCTGGGTGGGTTTTAGAGTGTAAAAGGTTGCTGACCATAGGTCTATGCATGTGTCTATGGTACACACCTGTGCACATTGATGCTAATGAGGATCATTATAATGTTTTAAGCCCACTCCACACTATCAAATTCTGTGTGACAAATTTGTGTGATATGCCCATATTTGGATGTACTGTAGTATGACATCATCATACCCATATATGGACACATCACACACATTTGTGACATAAAATTTGAGAGTGTGAACTGAGCTTGCTTTAAGCCCTGTCCAGATCATCAATTTTGATTTATCAAAAACATGACGCCTAAATATGGTCATTAAAATCATGACCATATATAGGTACTGTACATCATGACTATATTTGTGCACACATTACTTTTATTGTCAAAGAAAATTTCATAGTATGGGCAGAGTCTTAGGGTTTTCTCTCCACCCCCTTCCCACCTCTTTCAATCAACCACTGCTTACCAATTATCTTTGTTCTGTTGAACATCACGACCGACTTGAATGACATAATCCAGGACCTTCGGTATGTTACTCATCAGCCCTGCACCCCACTCATGGACGGGTTTCCTTTGCACCGCATACGCAGTAAACAGGGCACAAGCCACTGAGCCTAGATATCCTACAGGTACATTGTGAGTCATACGTCCACTCTCTACAGCAACTGTTATCAAATCCATCAGTTGATCAGGTTCGGGATAGCGAAGACCAATACACATGGCACGCATAGCTGCCCCACATCCACCACCCCTGATAAAAACAAATATTGTAAATCAACATTTCGCATAAAGATACATTATTTTTTTTTTATTGATTAATTTTAGCATTTGTATAGTGGTCTTCACCAGTCTCGCAGCGCTTTTTCCCCTGATTGTTGGATATAGAATCAATCATACACAATGTGCAACCCCCTCCGCTCCCTGAGGGAATATTCCTAGTCATGCATGCAATCAGCACTACTAACAAAGATACTAGAAATACAAGATAGAGCACTCGCATAGCAAAAATGAGGCGGAAATTGGTCCAGACGTACGCGGTGCCCTTCTCGTTTTATAATGCAAATTTTCTATACTTGGTCCAGACATATAGGGCACCTTTCTGTTGCCAAATATATCCAGACGCACACAGCACCCTTCTTTTTCCACTAATGGAGGAAAACTTTTCCTCTAAACAGAGTGCGCTTTTGTGTCTGTCCTTTATCGTTTTGATTTATTTATGCCTACTTGTTTGTATATTATGGATAATGGCAACGATTTCAACCTCCGCAAAAGGAGATTATATAGTCACATTTATGTAATGGTGGCAGAAGATTTTTAGATCCAGCCGTATGCGGCGTCCCATTGTTTGTATTCCTACCATGCATTTCGGTGGAACAGTTTTTTTCTGTGGAGAACTCTATTTTGTGTTTCTAGTATCTTTGCTACTAATTCATTCTGAATCATTCACCTCCTACCAGGTACCCATTTATTCTCCAAAGTGAATAAGGCTGTTTCGCACACCTCAGACAAAAAGAAAACCAGCCTACAACCCTGGTGCATAATCTGCCAAACATCTTGTATCTTGAGGAATGCTCTTGTTCAACCCCAAAAAACTTAATATTATCATGAAATTAAAATTAAAAAATGCTCTCAATTACTTTGCTAATCCCTGCCAACTTCAGGTTTATGTTGTCTCCATTTTTTGTTATATTTTCTCCAGTTGGTTTGTTAATTTGTTATTTCTTTATATTTGGCTGAAAAAATTATGAATAAACTCAGCTCTGTTGCAATGTTAATTTGGTATTCAAAGCATTGTTTGGTAGAACCATAAATACATGTTTATAGCAGGGAGATTTAACAAATATTTTTTACATCTCCCTGTTTATAGCATTTGCTGCATTTTTGTGTTAACATTATTTACTGAATACTGCTGCAGCGTTCGCAATGTTCACAAATATTAAAATAAGGTTTTGTTTGCTGGGAAATAACAAATGAATAAAAAGGTTTGAAGAAGAATTGGCCTAAACAAAGGATGTTTTTCCATGCATTGTTCTTCCTGACACAATGAGGCAGGAACATAAATGTAACCTTTGAACTTATATAAATGAGATGATTAGTTTATCCAGAGACTGTGCATGTTTGCCACATTATAGATCCAGTGATCTGGTATTTATAAATACATATTAACGATATCTTACCTTTTATTAAAAGGGACTATATAGGTCGGTGGTGTTTTTCTAGACAAAATATTTGTACTTGCAGATGTTGTTCCCCCTAAAAATAAGCATATTTTGCTCAATAGTGTAAAAATAATACAATAAAAATATTATTTTAGAATCAATAGAAAAAAAAAATCATTGAAAGCGTGTGTGAATTAGAATGACTCGTTGTTTCCTACTGTAGAAGACGTACATTATTATCTGCAAACAACCTGCTTACAATGGTGTTGAATTGCAGTTTACAGTAGCTCATATTTTACATGAAAGCAAGTTTATCTGATCTTGCAAAGGAGTTGTGTTTTGTTATCCCAAAATGCCTCCCCCTCACACATGGCAGTAAATTAGTTCCACTGAGTAAGTTAAAATACTACAAAACTTACCATAACGTTTTCATTGGAAAAGTGCTTTAGTTCCGCATACTCAATTTTTGCACACCCCCACCCCCCTAGGCCGTTTTGCACACTCCTAGGCCAAAACCAGCCTACAGTATTCCCCTGTTCGGTGTGGGCTCTCTCTGAGCAAGAAATGGCTTAACTGGTAACCAACCATTACCAACTAGGCAACTTAGCTCGAGCAGTTGGTAAAGAATCCGAAAGGCACTTCAAATTTTGCCGGTTTGATTTCCATAGAAACATTCCATATTGGATTCATTCGGTGTAAACACCAAGGATAACCCACCAAAGTTTAAAAGAAGACTTATTTCCAGTGGGGTCCTTCTGGTGGTGATTGGCCAGTACACCAGGAGACAATCCCCTACTCTTTTCCGAAGAGTGTACTGCGTTCTTTAACATGCACATGGGCCATAAATGCACACTGGACTAACGGCTAAAACGTCTTATCCAAAAGACAATGCGCTATTGTAATTTGTATTTCAGCCCTCGAGCTGAAACACCTAGAGATCTCCACGGTTCAGCGAACACACAGTGGCTACCACCAAATTAGCCGACTGAGCTAAGCTGCTTTCTTTTACCATGTGTAAGCCCTGTCCAGACTATCAAAATTTAATTGACAAAAACATGTGACATGCCTAAATATGGTCACTTCATGACCATATATAGGCACTTCATGACCATATATAGGCACTTCATGACCATATATAGGCACCTCATGAAATTATATGGCATACACCAGTTTTTTTTATAGTGTGGACAGAGGTTAACATACCAGGTGCTCTGCCACTCATGTCCCTCATTCCTCTGACGTAATGCCAAGCAATTTCCAGGAATAATTTTTCACCCACTTCAATTCCAGTTGAGAGAGCTACAAGATACAACATCACAAAAAAATCTGGTAAATGATTGATGTTATATAAACAGTTACTATCTTGGATTGGAAGTGGGGTGGGGTTACTCTCTACGGTGGTGAAGGGGTGACTAACTTGATGGTTACTATCTTGGGTGGGAAGGGGTGACTATCTTGAGGGTTACTATCTTGAGGGTTGTTTTATTATCTACTTTTTTCTCAGTATGAATCTTACCTTCACCAGTTGCAAGATGAAGAACTGTATCATCACTCACTGGCCAGTCTTTCTCTAGAAAAAACAAAAACAAATTACAAATAAAGCATTTTATAAGAGAATAGATACAATTATTTGAATATTTAGATATATGTGACCCAAGATCACAAAAGGGCTGTAAACTCGTACTCTATCAATAGAGTCATTAACCTTATAATGAGGGCTCAATGACCTTAATCGGACAATTATGTGTAAAGTTATTTATTGTCTATTTTGAATTATAATTATTCTCTATAAACTGGCCTAAAAAATTCTGAGCAAAAGGGCTTTAAAAGCACTGAAGAAATTGAAGAAAAATCACAGCAGCTGTAAACAATCACAGCAGTATTAAACAATAAGAAAAATTGGGAAAACAGTTTCCTTTGAAATTTACTTAAGCGAGAGTGTATGAAGCCGGGTCTATGGCAACTATAATTTAATACTACATCTAGAAGTGTTAGAGATAAGGACCCTATTATTAAAAACTGTTGAATTCTAAATGATTACAAGATGACCAAGCATATGAATGAATCAGTCTAAAATGATATTCAAAGATAATTACACTGTACAGCTAACCACTAATGTTTGTTTTGCATGTCTATTACACACCGTCACTCACAAATGTATGTAAAAATTGGTCGTAAAATTTGATAACAAGTTGACCATTAAAATCTATTGTAAATATTTATT